GCTCTGTGGAAACAGAACGGTTTTCTCACAAGCAACAAAAAGGTGGTCAAACACAAAGAGCTTTTCATGACATGTGATCACTTAGTGACATCACATGATCTACAGATCTTCTGGAAGAAAGTTCCAGGACACTCCAGAGTCCCAGGCGATGACAAGCACTACAATGACCTTGCAGACTCCCTAGCCAAGGAAGGAGCCGTTGACGGACCCACGTGGTCCTTTGACCCCTCCTGGCTACTCAACACTCAGTCGTCACAATCTACAACTGAGGTAATGGCAGTCACACGTGCACAAGCTGCAGCTAAACCTGCTGATAACACAGTTTCTGTACGCCCAATGCTGACTGACCCAGACATCATCCAACTTCAGAAGTTGGATCCTGCAATTAACTCGATGATACTGTATCTGACTGACCCAGACAAATACACTCCATCGAAAGGCGAACTGGATTCCAATCCAGACCTTAAAGTCCTCTTTCAGCTGCGCAAACAGTTAAAACTACTCAAGGACAGCCTAACTTTAGCTCATGGAGCGACGTCCTCACCCGTGTTCGCGGTCTCCCATGACCGAAGGGGGGTGACGCCAGTTAAGGTAATGTTACCAGACGCGATAACGTGATCAAATCTGACATTCAGAGTGAGTGACGCACCGAAACGTCGTTTTCTAGTTGCTTAATCACTACTTTTGTCAATGTTGAAACATTGTTTTACTGGTTGCTTAGTCACTGTTTTTGTCGATGTTGAGACATTCTTTAATTGGTTTTTGGTATTGTTTCTGAACACCCCAAGTAAGAATGAGTTTTGTATGTATTTAAGTTAGAGACTAAGAGGCCTTTAACTATGCCAACATGCAGTTCACTCGTTAAATGTAATCTTTGCGGAGTCAATGTAGATTAATGCTACCTTAAGTACCATAATCTACATTGGTCTCACAACGCTTAAGCCGAACCTACTCGAACAATTCTATTCGGGGGGATAGCTAATTCTTTTTGATGAGTTTCGCCATAGACTCCAAAAACATTTATGGGGAAACCAAAACACCCAATCTCAAGTCGTTCGTCTAAAAGGACAACAGACAATCGAACCAAACTATATTTTGCCATGTAAAGCTAACTTAAATCTAGTTAGGAATGGAAAAATAGTTTGGAACACCCTTCTATAGGTATAAATCCCTATATGAAACTTTTTCAGCATGTTCCACCCTTAACTGGTAGCTGTAGCTGTTCCCAATCATAATCGCTTACACACCAGGTGCATATAGGTTAAGGCCTTATGTAAAATCCCCTTCATAAGCCCACCTTAAACCACATAATTGCATGACACATTGAACCAGAACGGCACCGACTGGACGTTGCCCAGAGACGACCTTCGCTGGAGGAGACCTGCAATCCTGACGTTGGTCTCCACTCTTCATCCAGTGGCCGCATCTTCAGTTCAATCCAAGGGAACCCCTCTGTATGCTGATCAATCAACACCTCCATTCGTTGTGGATTTACCGTTGTGGATTATATGACTTTTTCCAATGGATTACA